GCAATGGCTTTTACTCCTATTTTAAATAATCAGATTATTTTTTTTAGAGAGAATTTAATTTTTATTTGTGTCCGTAGATCTAAGGTAGTTGGGGCTTCACCTGTAGTTGCAAATATTCCCTTTGTTTATATTAGTAAATATATCCTCACTTAATTGCTTTGCTGCTAGACTTGCAACTAATTTTTTTTTTTTTTTAATTATATTCCATTATTTTGCATTTTTTGATGTGGGTCGGGTTTTTGGAAGCTTTTCTGTAGGAAAACACACACGTGTTATTTTTTAATTTGTGTAATGTTAATGATATGTTGCATTAAACTAGCAGCTGAGAGATTACCTGTACAACTTGAAAAAAAGGAAAAAAAAAAAAGGAAAAACTAAAAAAGGAAAAAAAAAAGTTTGTCTAAATTGTATTTAAGAAGATTGTAAGTAGCATTTACATTTATTCAATAACATTAGCATACTATGCTGGGTTTCTGTACCAGAAATGGCCAGTTAATGTAAAAATGTATGTTATTTCTGCTTAAATTCATTTAATTTTTTTTTTTTTTAAATAAAGGTGCAGCATCTTCTAAATAATTTCAGTTTTATCAGCTTTTTTGTGAAGGGATGCTGCATTCTCAGACTTTTATAGTTTTAGATTCTGTATGATGTGGTATTGTATTTTCCATCCACTGTAGGGTAAAGTAAAGGCATTCTTTGCAGACACCTATGCCATTGTTTGGAAACATTCAGATAAAAGTATTGATACACTTTAAAAAAAATAATTAAAAAAAAAAAAGAAAAAAGGAAAAAAAATAACAAAAAAAGCCCAAAAAAACTCTACATTTTATTTTTGGACAAGCTAGTAATATAAGCTTGTTTGAAAAGTTAATTTGATAGGTTTTTTAAATGAATCATGAAGCTGAAAATAAATTTTTAGGTATGTTGGTGCTTAGTAGATTTAATAACTATTTTAAAAAAAAAATGCGTGAATTTAGTAAAAGACTTTTTTTGTTTGTTTGTTTAATTTTTTTTTTTTCCACTATGCATGTGTAAATGTTTGTAATCTGGCTTTTTCCCCCCTTTCTCCAGTGGTATAAAAGAATTGTGCCGCTTTAATTTTTTTTTTTTTGGGTTTTGTTTTTTTTTTTTGGGTTTTGTTTTTTTTTTCCGGTAAAACTTTTGGTACATTATTTGATGTTTACATTAAAATGTGACATTATACAAGGAAATTCAGATATTTTGCTAACTGTTTTGTTTGAGGAACATCATTAAAGAAGAGATTTAATGTTTGTCAAAGCTGTATCCAAATTTAATCGAGACCTTCTGGGGATCAGAGTGGTTACCACGTTATTTATCTATGTGAGCTCTGTGAAGTTCTTCAAGAACCTGACCCTTCAGGAGTTACAATCTGAAAAAAAATTAATGATGGGATATTAAAAAAAAAAAAAAATTAAAGAAACCAAGTGTGAACGAAACCTCAGAAGATAAACTTTGTGGAGAAAGATTTCTGGCCTTGCACACTGTCCCTGCTTTGTGCTGGGGAGCTCCAGAGGGGGGTTGGAGAGATTCTCCTGTTTGTTTGTTTTTTTTTTTTCTCTTTTTCCAGTTGAAATAACTTTAAATCTGGGAACTGTTTTACAGGGATGAGCTGGGTGTAGTTGCAGGATTCCTCCACCTGTGGGAATGGAAATTTTAGAGTTGTGTGGGGGTGATTTCAGCTGACACCTCCCTGGGAAGCAGTGGCTGCTCCTGGTTCAATCAGATTTTTGCTCTGGTTACAATCAGGTTTATTCTTTTACATTTGGCTTCATGTTTGAAGACAAGGGTCTTTATGAACTGGGGTTGATTTAAACTCATTGCACTGCAGAGGCTTGCATATGAATTTTTTTATTATAAGTCTTTGCTGGCTTGTGGTTCAGAAACTTATCTGAAAACCTTTTTCCTTCTTTTTGCTGCGAAGCAAATCACTCATAACTCGTTAATTTATTTCCTGATGTCTGTACCAAACAAGGGGGAGGGGACAGCCCCTGCCAAGTTGTGCTTTTATCCCTTCAGCACCATCAAATCCAGAGGACCCAAAAATGAGTATAGAGGCCAAATTCTGCAACCTTGAATCAAGCAAAACTCCCGTTTTTGCCAAGCTGACGGCTGCAGAAATGGGAAATCCATCAGCAGGGGCCAGTGGAAGTTGCCTCAGGCTCCTTATTTTGGCAGAACTGTGCCAGTTCTCCTCCACGGAGCACCTGGCACCGCTTGGAGAGATGGATCCGTGTGCCTGGACGTTGTGGAGAGTCCCTGGTGGGCTGTGCAGGCTGTGGCAGAGGACAGGTAGGGTTCACATGCCCCTCAAATGCTTTGGAGTTTCAGGGGTTTCCAAAATCACTCCTTTCTATGGAGCAGCCCTTTGATTCTGTTCACCACATATGAATTTTAAACCAATAAACGTCACTTGTTAATTTACTGCTCTCTGTCCATCAGTTAAAGGGAGATGGTCACGTCTCACCACATTTTATTCTGTTTTACACCAGCACTTGATCTACACTGAAAATATTATGGAGAAAGGAGCATTTTCTCTCTTGAGTTACAATTTCTTTATGAAAATCCCTGCTGGTTTTGGTGCTATGTTTTCCTAAGTGCTCTCACCCAGGAGTTTGAGGATGGAATGGCAGAGAGCTTGTGGCTCTCAGCTTTGACAGGAATCACTGAATTTCTTAGAGTGAGGGTTTTTTTCCAAAAGATTATTTCTTTGGAAATGTCTGGCCATTGTATGTCACATGTATAGTCCTGAGTGGGATCTTTGGGTTTTAGAGCAAATTATCCAGTGTTTATTGAAGTCATGTGTAGAAAACCCCCAAAGTGTATTATAAACTCTCCTAGGGCTTTAATCACACTCTTATTAAAATGAAATTAAGACTTACAGATGGCTCCAGTGGGCACTGCTCAAGCTGCACTGTAAATATGGAGCTGTTGCAGTTACAAGGAGAATTCAAAATTATGAGTCTGGTTTGTATAAAATGTCTCAATTTGGAGGAAAATAATGGGGGTTTGGGCATCTACACCAAAAGGGTGCTTGGCTCCTTGACTTTTTTTACATTTAATAGTACAGTTAGTGCCAAATCCCATTTTCCTTTGAGAATAAACTCCCCATTGTTGTCTGTGGAATATTTAAACGACAGGATCATGCGGATCTAAATTTAGAAAGCTGGTATTTAACACCAAGAATAATTTCTGGGTTTATTTTCTTGAATTCCAGTTTATCGTGAGAAAAATCTGGATGCCTCATGGGAGGTTGTCAGTGTGGTGGTAAGAACTAATAAAGAATGGAGGGAAAGATTTTAAAAAGAAATTATTTGGCTCTAAAAAAATGAAACTTTTTTTTTTCTTTTACATTTCAAATAGAGCCTCCATCCTTTAAAAATCCACTTAGGGAATGCAGCTGGGAGGTTGTCATCTAATACAGTTTGTCCTGGTTTTTTAATTGTGTGGCCCTTTGCAGGATGTGAATCCTGCCACTGACTCTACAAACCCTGTGAGTACCATTCCCTACTTTGATTAATTATTGTTTTGTTCCCAGATTTATGGAGTTCAGCTGGTTTTTCTGCAGAGATCATGCTCTCTAAGCAATTCTTTTGCTGTGTGTGTGGTACCTCAGTGCTATAACTGGCACCAGGAGCACTGTCTGGCCACTCCAAATTTCCTTTTCAGACCGAACTCAGGCATATCAGAACCCTCACATTTCCAGGGCAGTGAGCCCACAATGCTCTGCCCATATCATTGTTCTACTCATTTGTTTTGTTAGTTTTAAAAGTTTCTGGTTTTCCTAGAAAAACTGCAGACAATTAACTTGTCAAGACAGATGGCGATGATCTATGGTGCCTGTAAAAATTCGCACATCGTATTCCCTGACATGAAATATGGGCTATTTCTGTTGGTGTAGCAATACTTGAGCCAGTCTCTCTTTGTTAGCTGTGTCAGGGAGCAAGGATTGAATCCTTCTAAATTTGTTTTTTTTCTTCCATTCAGGAGAAGTAAAGAATTTACAGCAGAAGTGTGGAAATGTCAGTTCGATGGGTTTTTTTTTTCTTTTGGCAACTTCAGTCGAGAGATGTTGAGGAGTTTTTACCTCATTAAGGATTAATAGATGCTGCTGACAAATTACAGAACATGCTCTGTGATCTGAATTACCCAAGACTGGTTAGAAGATGTTGTCAGTCCCTTTTCCCTAAGACTTGGCTCCCTCCTGGAGGGTGAATACCTCCACAGGACCAGCTGTAAAGCTGTGGTGGTGCTCCCAGTGAGAGCTGGTGATACTGGGCACAAGGCTGAACCAGAGCCTGGGGTGCAGCCCTTTCTATTACATAGAAAGTAGCCCAGAAATCTCAGTTTATTCCCTTCTCTGCATTTCCCTAGAGAGCAGCAAAGCAGCTGGGTGTCTGGATGCAGGGTGTGCATGTGTGATGTCTGTATGTCTTGGATTTATGTTCAACAGCTTCACCAGGGCCAGAACATCCATCAGGGATGACAAAGCAAGAAAAATCATCCTCTTCTTCAATCAAAACAAAGTCATGGTGCTCTTTTCCTGCCCCTTGGTGACAGTGGAAAGGGGAGATAATTGGAAGGGATGCTTTTAGAGCAGGTCCCATTGCTGTGGGTGGGTTATGGTGCAGAGCAGCCCAATGCTCCTGGAGTTAAGTTGTAAAGTGATACAGTGTTCCAAGGGGCACTGTCCCACCCTGGAAAGTGGGAGGTTGTTTAAAATGAAGGTGACTGAGGTTTATTCTGTCCATGGTCAGGTTCCTGGCATGTGACTGTCCAGCTGCAGTGCTGGATGGAGCCCGGGGGTTTGGTGTTAATCCCCAGGGCCCTCTCTGGGGCTGGCAAACAGCATCTCCTGGTGTTGATGACCTCGTGTATCAGGTATGTTCTTCAAGAGCTGTCAGGCCCAGGAGAGAAAGGGCCCCTCTGCAGCAGGGCCAAGGGTCTCATTGCAGGGGGGAGAGTTCCCAGATCTTTGGGACTTTCTGGGAATCACTTCCACAACTGTCAGAGTGAGGAGAAAGAGGTGATGGCCACAAGGAAGCGACAGAATGGAAAGGGATCAGTGAAAAAACAAATAGGTGAGTCCACCTGTGCCATTGTAAACTGCATGGTCAAACCCCTGAGCATCCTGTGTATGCTGGCTCTCTTCAGGCATGGACTAAGGGAGAAATAGGGGTTTGTACTGGGACTTGTGGGTGAAATCCTCTCTGCACACCCCCATCTGAGCTCCCTGGTGAGTTCTTGGTTCCCCACGCTGCCGGTGCTGGGCTGTTCCTGCAGTACCTCGTTGCAGATGAAGGGTGTTGGAGAGCTCAGCTCACTGCTTGCTAAACAGGCAGTTTTCTTCTTCAGGGTTGTTTGTCTGACACCTTTTCTGCACATTAAGTTCACACAACACGGCGTTTAAAGATGAGGGAAGCAGATTCTCTCCACGCCTCACAGCAAACCGTACATAAACAGAGAACTTCGCGTCTGCTGCTGCGTCGACTGTGATTTAACACTCGGGCTTTGCAGGGTGGTGGGCAGAGTTCAGCCACCAGAATCGCAGCCCTGTGTCTCCTCTCCCTGGGGCACCTCAGTGTGGGTGCCCTGAGGGAAGGGCTGGGCAGGGATGTTGGTTTATGGAGTGGCAAATGGACGTGCCCAAGGAACCCACGACCGAAGGGGTCTGTGGCTCTGGTGGTGACAGGAGCAACACTCAGGGTTTCTTGGTGGCTGGTGGTTGTTACTTGTTCTGCAAATCAATTCACCTCTCCCTGTCTCTGCTGTGTTTCCCACTCAATTCTTTGGCCGGGTCCCAAGCCCACGTATGCTCCTGTAGGATGTGCAGCAGCCAGGTCCCCATCCCTGTTTGGCTCTGATGACTCCCTGCCAGTGAGAAAGTTTCTTTCATGTTTCCTGGTACATTCCTGAAGTTCTGGTGGCCGTTCCCTGCTATTTGTTCAGCTGAGAAAATGAAAACTGAAGCCAGTTACAGCTCCCCCCTCCAACATTATATTCTTTTTCCTTTATGAAGACCAATTACTTTTATTAAGTCTCAAAACACATTATCAGCTCTCTGGGAGAGAGGTTTCGATGCGGCAGAACGAACCTGCTGCAAGAGCAGTGCCTTTCCCACTGTGAATACCAATGACCAATTTAATGGACAGGTCCCTCTTCAGCAGTTCTTAATATCAGGAAGAAGAAAATGAAGCCATCCATGTGCTTCTCAGTCTGGCAGGGACCATATGGAGCAGGGAATGATCACAAAGCCTCAGCTTGGAGCAGGAGGAGAATAAAGCTCGGTGAGTTTAAAGGCTTTAGGAGGCATCTTGCTGAGCTGCCTGAGCTCTGGCTGTGGGTGGAGGATCTTGCTGCTGGGAGCTGTGTGTTTTCTCTGCCTCATGAGTAAAGTGAGCCCAGAGAGGCTGTAAAACCTTGGGTCCAGGCCAAACCCCAGCACTTACTGGGAATCTTTCCATTGCTCTCACTGGGGCTTGGATGAAGCAGGTCAGCCCTGGTGCAGGTGGGAGTGTGCAAGAGATGGGGAGACCTTCCAGGGTGTGTTTATCTCAAACGTTCATGTCTTGCTCTTGAATATGAGGGGGACTAAGCAGCATCTTGGCTGGACAAAAAGTTGGCCTATCAAGAACCTACCTATAAATAATTTTTCCCAGAAGAAACATTGCAGGAGAGGGATGACACCTCAGTAAAGGTGCTTCTCAGGGATGCAGGACATGTTACTGCTCCGTGTGGCGTGATGAACTTAGACCCATGTCCCCAAACTTTGCTTATCTCAAGCCCTGGCATGTCTGAGGTGGTGATGATGGCTGAGCTGGGAATGCTGCTGTGCCTGCCAGCTGCTCTGCTTGGATTAACCTGCCTTGTGTAGGTTGGGATGTCCCAACCCGGGGTCAGCCACCGCAGGGTCACACCAACTACTTTCCTTTCTGTTGTTGCACGTAAAGGATCTCCCTAGAAACTAGCCTCTGTTTTCCTGAACAATGAAAATGCAAATGAAGAATGTCAGCTCTGTACCCAAAAATAAGATTTCAAAACCATTTAGCATTTCAGAGTGGCTCTGTGACAACTTGAAGACTTGCAGTTGTCTCTCATAATGAGAGACAGGCAGAGCTCCTCAGCTCACACTCACATCTGAGCACCAGTGAATGCTTCATCCCAAAACTTCATAATATATGTGTTATTTGTAGTGCTTTTCAACTTCAAAGAGCTTGAAAAACATTAATGCAACTTCACAAAAGGCTTCTGTTTTTGCTGCCACGCTGCTGATGGGGAGATGGAGACAAACCTGAGTCTGGCTGGGGCTGCTGGGGCTCAGTGCACCCCAACAGGGTCTGGGTGGTGGTGGGGCCCCTCAGGCCAGCATTTAATTGTTGGGGAATTTCTCCAAATGCTTGAACATGTCATGATTTCAGATGTCTTCAACTTGATCAGAGATTTTCTGTTATGAATTCTATTTTTCTTTAGGATTGGGGACAGCTGAACGTGGAGGGAAGGACATTTAGTTCCCTTTCCTCCTGATTTTTAAATTATGGGGTGAAAAACGTCCACTGTAAACCTCATACTTTTTCCTACCTGGGGGAGGAAATGCTGAAGCAGATTCTGAAAATTGAACTGTAAAGGGAGAAAAAAATAAAAAAGAAAAAAAAGAAAAAAAGAAAGACGACTGGTGCTGAGGGACTGTGATGGTGAAAAGGGCTTGGCTGGAGGGGCTGGGTGAGTGTGTGGGGCTGGGGGACCCCCAGTGCTGCAGGTGGCCAGGCTGGGGGCCCCCCAGTTCTCCCAGTGCTTCAGGCAGCTGTGGCAGAGCCCTGCAGGGGCTCAGCAGCAAACGAGCCCCCTCAGCATCCCCCAGCACTGCCTCGGGTCTGCGCTGCTTCGAGCAGCATCAACTCAATGCACTAGTGAGGTGCTTCCAGGGCTGACTCTCCTGGGTGTTCCAGGCAAAGTCCTTTCCATCTTGGCAGCTGCTTTAAAGGATTTTTCCTGAAATGTAGTTTTCGATACAGTGAGCAAAGCAGGGTATTGTTAAAAAGCCCATTCAGGGGGAACTAATGAGAGCCCCGTGCAAACACCACCCAGAATTAGTGTCGTTCTGGACCTGGCAGAATTTGATGGGCCAAGTGATTCATCCATCAAAATAATTTTCCAGAAAATCAGGCTACTGGAAGATTATGCTTTTTATTAAAGGAAAATATCACTCTTAATGTTTAATACTTCTTGGCTTTGCCGCTGAAGTTTAAGCAGAACAAAAAAACCTCTTTATCTTGTGGGATTTTATGCTTGATTCAAAAGAATGGAACTGCAGGGTGTAAATTTGGAGGGGAAATTTTTGTCCTAATGCTACTCAAAGTTCTGTCTTGATTTCATTTCAAATTTTAACAGTTTAATAGAAGACCATAAGGATCTCCAGTGATGAACTAACCCTTCTTAGCGAGGGAGAGGAGCACGGCGCAAATGAGGACACGGACTCCTCATGGAGCCAGAGTTTCTCAGTGTCTCTCTCTGACCCAGTAATGTATAAAAGCCTGATATCCCTCACAAATCTGCACCTAACCACACCAAACATCTCCCTAGCAAAGCTGTGTTCTCTGTGGCCTGAGCTGTCTCAGCTACATCAGTACAGGGCACCCCAAACTGGCACAGAGCAGTGCCATTCACCCACACCCAGGATGGTGCTGAGTGCTCTTTCTGCTTCCTTCAAAACAAAATAAAAAAAAAAAAAGAAGAAAGAAAAAAGAAAAAAAGAAAAAAAAGAGAGAGAAAAAAAGAAAAAGAGGGAAAAAAAGGATAAAATGAGAGGAAAAGAAAAGGAAAGCAATAATTACAATCGAACATGCCTTGGTTCAGTAATGACTCACTTGATGGAGAGCACATTGCAGAGTGGGACCCAGACATTTTAAAAAATACAAATCTTTTCAGAACACTTTCTGGATATTTTTTTTTTTCCCCGTGCTGGGAGCATCAGTGCTCGGGCTCTGCATCCATGCAGGTCTCCCAGGGGTTCTGGGGGAAGCGGGGCAGGGCGATGAGGAGGAGGGCGATGCCGCAGACGAAGAGCAGGACGAAGGCGGCGCAGGCGCAGGCGAAGGACCAGGAGTAGCTGTACTCGATCCACACGGTCTCCTCGCTGTCGATCATCCTCTTCACCGACTGCCTCATCACCTCCACGGAGATGATGATGCAGAGACCTGAAGGGAGAGAGGAGCAGTGGGTTGAGTAACCAGCTGTCAGTTTTTCATCCCTAATTAACCGCCTCATGTGTCGTTCCCATGCAGGAGCTGCAGTGAGAGTCACAGGTGAGTCACTGACTCCAGTGCTGGGAGGAACCAGTGCTCAGAACTGCTGAGAGCTCTGCTCTAACCCAGGTCAGCTGGTGACTTGGTGAGTGTGATCTTGGATGGGAAACTCAAAGTGGAGGAGGAATAATTGCATTCCCTGGGGAGCTTTTCCAGAGGTTGAGTAAGATTTTTATTGAGGTGACAATTTGCACCTCTGTCTTTCCCTCATTGTGGCATGTCAAGGTATTCCTGGCTCATGTGAAAACACAAGTCTTCATGTGTTCAGGGCACAGCTGTGTGTTTTGGGCCTGGATCAGCCATTTCTTTGGTTTGAGGCTTAGCAAATGAGATTGAATATTGTATATCCCTGGTTCAGACTGGGGTTGGCAGTGCTCGTGGTAGAAATATCCCTTTTAAAGAGAGTTGGAGAAAACACAGACTGGGCAATGCTCGCTGAGCAGGATGTTCTCATACCACACGGGGATCGGGAAGGAAATGCCATTTTCAGGGCACTTTTAGAAGCGTCTCCATCCCCCCAGGGTCCACCTTAAGTTTCCTTATGTTGTCCCATGACCCAAGTGCGAGAATGGGAGCGCCCACCCTGTACCTGCAAAGGTGTAGAACATGGATGCTGGTTTCAGCAGATAGTCCCTCTTCTTCCTGAAGGACAAGAGGACGCAGATCGTCCCAATGATCGCGAAGCCAACGCTGAAGATGGCAATGGCTGCAGCTGAAATGCTGTATTCTGCCAAAGGGAAAAAAAAACCACCAAAAATGACACAGTGTGCACATTTTGAGCCATCAGCTGTGGTGACATTGTGGTAGGTCACTCTGAGCAACACGAGGTGGTGAGGTGGCTCTGGTGGATTATTCCCCTCAAGTAAAAACAGGGGTGAGTACTGGCCAGGTATCTTTTGAATGTGAAGGGTATACAATCAGAGCAGGAGGGGGAAACACTTTCTGAACACTTGCTGAGGGAGCACAGGGCACTTTTGCTCATCAGCTCATCTGGATGGGGATGGTGGAGTGCTGAGCTGGAGCTGTGTGAGCTCTGCCACGTGGATGTTATTGTTAAAGCCTCACTGGGCTCTGTGGCTCCTTCCATCACCCCACACTCTGCTCTCACAGTAAATTGGCAGCTCTCTGCTATTTGTATTCCCTTGCAGAGCCCTGGTGAGGCCCTGTGAACTGATGCACAGACAGACAGTGCTCCGTGGGCATCTGAAGGGGGGAAGTGTTTGAACAGCACATTTTCACTCTTTTTCCCCTTTAAGACAACGATTTCCAGCTCTGTGAAAACCCAGCTTCTTCAGGGCATGGAATTAAACCCTCCCAAAAAATCCTGGTTTTTGCTAAGCCAGCAAAGCTGCACTCTGGACACTTCCCCCAGCTCCAGAAACCTTCAGTGCCCGAATGGAGGGGGAGAATTGCTAATTGAATAATTCAGGCCTTCATTTGCATATTGTATTCGTTTTCAGATTAGTTTAATATTTAACATGTGTAGCCATGTGTGAACATCACAGTGCCTGATGATATTTGCCTTTCAAGGCATTTTAAAAAAATAATCTCCCAGGCAAAATCATGAAGAGTTTTTTTGCCTGTTCCTAATTAGCTCCCATCCAAACGAGCTGTTTCTGTGAAGGGGAACAGCAAATCACTCTTTGTTCTCACTGGTTTTCATCCCACTGTTTTATTATCATTTCCTTAACATTTCTTTTTACTCTGTGCTGGAACTGCCTGAAAGAGTTTGTTTCGGTGTAAAATCTTAAGTTTTTCCTTTTGCCCCAAAGAAAAGATGTTCTTCCTGATATTTGTGGGTTTGGTTTTTTTTGTTGTTGTTGTTTTTGTTTTCTTTTTTTCTGAAAAAGAAGTTCTCCTGATATTTTTTCTGCAATGCTGTGAAGGCATCGGGTGCATTTTTAAGATCAGGTGGCTGGATCTGATAGTACAGGAGAGCAAAAGCAGGCAGCTCTGATATATGCTCATCTATCCACTTAAAAATTCCCAATCTTTCCTGTCTCAGGAAACTGCTTTTTTAGAAAACCCTTTTTCCAGGGTTTCCCACCATTACAATTTCCACTGGAAGCCAAGCAGATTGTTTAATACATGTAATGTAACCACTGGCTCATATTTTCCACGGTATATGTGTTGTGTGGCAAACTAGAAAGGGGTTTGTCCTCAATGAGAGGGTGAGAAAGAGAGAGGAGCATGTTAGAGGAGCCCTCAAAATATTTGGCTATATCAGGGACTTACTAAAAATGTGAAATTTGTCTGTGAAGGACTACTTTTCTGTGAACACCGTGCGTGTCTTTGCAGGATCCCTGTTCCTTCTGTCCATCGATCGCTCCATTCTTTTACATGACTCTCATATAAGATCAATATGAAGCATAAAATTCCTAATGGTCTTCAGAGAGCCTCTGCACTTCTTTTCAGGGTCAGCACTCTGCTTGGGGTATGATTTATTCATTTAGGGTTTATTAATATTTTCCCCTTCCATGGCAAAGGCTGAGTGTCACGGGTAGTGCCAACGTTGTAAAGTCATTTTTGTGCTGAAAAGACTCTTTGCAGTTTTTTCCAGTGTATTGATGTTGTTATATATTTGTGGGACAACTTATGTAAAATCATGTTTATGGGTGTGATCATATATAAAAATAATTCTTTCCAGGAAGCTGGGATTTGACCTTGTCCAGGGCATTTTCCACATTTTCCCCAGCTGATGGTGTCTGATAGAAATTCCTCTGCTGCTTTCAGTGAAACCAGGGCTGAACCTTCATTTTGGGGACCCCTTTACCTTTGATCTTCTGTAGCCTTCACTTCGTACAACACTAGGAAAATACCTTTTTGGAATTATTCTTACCTTTCTGGGTGGTTACTTCAAATATCTCTGAGGTCTCTCCTGGAGTGAAGTGCTTGAAGTAGGAGCAGTTGTGGTCTGAAAGGGAAAAGGAAATTCAATTTTGTGCACTTGGAAACCTCTGATAAAATGTAGTAAAACTGAATTAGTTTTTTATTGATGTATCAAACTTGCGATGTTTTTGAGCCTTGCTACCCTTGGAGATGCTGAGAAGCTGGAGTTGGATCTGATTTCCTTGGGAGCAGATGAGGACATGGGCATGCCAGGACACCAACTCCAGCACGGGCCAGGCTGAAGCCCCTCTGATACCTTTTGTGGGCTGCTCCCTCCCTGAGCTTTGCACACTGATTGCTCATCTGTTTAAAATATGAATTACAGATAATTTTTCCCATTCTGTCTTTGGCCATCACACATTTCTACCTCCCTGTGTTGCTGTGTTTCCTGGGGATGAGACCTGCCGTGCCCACAGCTGAGCTGGCAGCTCAGCTCCCCTCCCCTCACCACTGCCAGCCCATCCACAGTGGCATCACCCTCCTGTGGTGAGCTTGGAGTGCAAAAAGGGAGGATGAAGTGTCCTCATACACCTTCTCCCTCCTGGCTCTTTCCTCCCCCAGCTCACAGACCCCTGTGGGACAGTGGGGGGGTGTTGCTGCATGGGGTGGGATGTCACCACCATATCGGGGTCCCAGAGGTGAGGCCGCTGCAATGCAGCAAAGCACGTGGTGTTTTACTAAAATAGGGATGCTGAGGGCCTTTTTTTTTTTCTTTTGGCTGTCAGTAAAAAAAGAGCACAGTAAAAAAAGACCAAAGCTATCTGAAGCCCAAACAGTTGTCCAGGGAAGGGAAGGCTGCATGAACCAAGGGCAAAGAGGCTCTCATTTAACCAGGCTTCACTGAGGTTTGATCCCATCAGGGCAGTCTATTAAGTGAGTTTGATAAGACAGCAGAGGTGGATAGAGGGGACTTCATGAAGTTCCTTTCTCTGGACTTCCCACGAGCACTCTGCCAAATCCAGGGGTGTTACAGGAGGGCTATGAAGTGAACAAGGGTGAAGATTGTGGGGCAGGGGGATATGGGAGGAGGGAGATTGGTGGCTGAGTCTCTCCATGGCCACAGTCCTTGTTCCTCCCCAGCCCAGTGAGGGTCAGCAGTGGAGCAGTGGCACTGCTGCCAGTGGATACACAGGAGACCTTCAGCCTCAGCGGGATGGGAAGGGTCTGCTGAGGACCTGCTGACTCGGAGCTTTGGCAGCAGCAGGGTTGGGGTGGAGGGTGTTCTGGCTATTTATAACTGGTTTAATTGAAGGTTTGGAGGGCTGTGGAGCTGGGAGAGCAGTTGCTCGCCAGGAATTTGGCTGGGAGGGCACAACTGTGGGGACGCTCTGAGCTCTGACTGCACCGTTCTGCTGGAGAGGACACGCTCAGCACCCACCCAGCACCCCCCTGGCACCCCAGGGTGGGCTCCCATCACCCCAGGCTGCATGAAACACAGGCAAGCAAGGGGCCTCTGTTAATGCCAGCATCTCATCCATTCAATAATGGTTATCAGGAGTTAGCACCAGCTCCCAGGACCAGCTTGGAGAAAGTCTGTGAGGATGTTGTGGTCCTTTCCTCCAGCACAGGTCGTGGGGGGAAGCCTGAGCCAAGTCGGGTACTGGACCCCACAGGGAGTCCTCTGGGTTTCTGTCTGTGTTCATTTACAGCATGAATTTCCCCAGCAGAAGATCCCAGTGCACTGTATTTTACCTGTTGGTTCTTGTGGGTTTTTTTCTGTCATGTAAATGGCAGATGCTGCAGTTACTGACTCAAGGAGGATTCATTTTCCTTCTCCCAGGAGAAAGGCAATTGCAAAGCAGTGTTTTTGGGCCTGTTAGTGGAAGATTCCTTCGAGACACTCTTATCTACTTAATTTTGTAAGCTGACTTTTATTTCATCTGCACATCCTCCTTGCTGGCGAGGTTAATGTTTAGCTCTGGCATCTCCTGACCTGTTCTTTATTATCCTTGCAAACGACTGGAGGAAATATATTTGAACTGAGCCCTCTGTGACTGAAATGGCAAACTTTGAGTCCCAAAGCAGTGGTTTTGTGCCTCTGCCGGTGCCTCAGTGGTGGCCAAGTCTGAGCATTGTGTCTGGTGATCCCAGTCTGGGGAGCATTTGGTCCTGTGCTAAATGGAAAGGAGATGGGATGAAACTGGGACACTTTATTTTGCGATTGTTTGGTTTGGGCTTTTAATTAATTCTCTGAAAAGCCTGAACTCCGAGGAGCCCCCAGGCAGTACAAAGCCCAAGGTGAAGCCATCCAGACATGGTGTGGTGGGGAGCACAGCACAGCTCTGTGTCCATTGCAGGTGAACCAAACCAGCCCAGTCCACCCTCCATCCTCATAAACCATCTTTTGGAGATGGACTTGTCTGCAGGAAATGAAGCTGCATCTTCTTGGGGCTTGTAGCAAAGCTCTGCCAAGATATGATAAAAGGGGTTATCACAGGAGAGGTTTATCTCTAGGGAAGGTGTTTTTGGAAGATTAGTTTATTGTGGGAAAGTATGACTAGATTGTTTTTGGTGACATGTATTGTTTCCAGTTTTAAGATGCTTCCATGCTCTGCAGAGCTGGGAATATCCATTTCAACAAGGCTCCCTTTTATTCAGGAGAACTGAGGCACTGCAATACCTCTCTGGTGCCATCATGAATAAGAGAAAAGCCCATTTCTGTCACACTACATTTGCATAATGGACAGGACTTACACTGGGTTTGATAATGGATGAAAGCTCTGTGGCAATCTTTGTTTCTCTGCACCCCAAAGGCATTATCTCTGTCATGATGTCACCCCACTGTGCTGATGGGGACAGTCCAGGGGCTCTGTGGTCGCCTGGACATCAGGGTTGTAACATGTGGTTTATCACACAGTGTCCTTGCCCTGCAAGGTCACCCACCCTCACAGCCTTCCTGCTCCCTTCCCTTCAGATCCATCGCTCCTGGAGGAGTGCAGGGACAAATGGACCAATCTGTCTTTCAACTCCAACCTCTCCTGGATACACTCATGGATGCAGGAGAAGTGCAATCCCATTGAACTGTGGTTGAACCTTGGGGGGCCGCATTTTGGAGACTTTGTGGGGGAAGAAAAGGTGGAAAGACAATGAGATGTTTGGGCCACGCAGAGTTTCAGGTGGCAGCTGTGCCCTGTGAGGATTGGAATGACAGGTTGGAAGGGGGCTGGAGCCCACTTTGCTCTTGTACCTAAAATGGACACAGCATGTGTGGGTTTGTGGCAGGATGGATGGTTAGAAAATCCTGGATTTTAGTGTGAGGTTTCCACTTGTGTTAAGTTTGGGAGCCAGGACCTGCTGCAGCAATTAGAGGGGGTTTTAGAGGGGTGGGGAGGGTCAGGCCTTGGGCTCTGACCTGGCCAACAAGGCCTTTGACACAGACAGAGTTTTGGAGATGGTATTTCCAAGTAGTTTAATTTCACACCTGTCTTGCAGAGTGAATCTCTTGTACGGACACGGGAACGAGACAGCACTGCTGAGAACCCATTTGCTGAGCACTTTACAAGGAACCTGTTTAAGCTGTTGAGCAGCCCCTGCTGCTGCCCAGAGCACAGGAGCCCACTTTGCAGGACAGCACAGACCTGGAGTTACGGGCAGTGACACTGAACTCCGTTTACAGCTGGTAATAAAATGCCCCCGTGCCCACTGACCTCAGTTAAAAATGTCTCAGTATGAATCTGAATTTGCCCGGTTTTAACAGCCTGATCTTTTTATTTGTTACAGCAGGATGCTGAACCCTTTTCAATTTGTCAACACCCTCGGAAAGGCGCTGTAAAATTTTAAAGCTCTGCCTAAATCACAGCCCGGCTTTGTGGACTGTGAGCCAAGTCACCCTCCCCACTCTGCGCTGTGCTGAGCTCAAAGCCTAATAAATAACGTTAATCATGCCATCCATTTCCTCCACAGGGAGCGACTGGTAAATGGTTATTAATTCAGTGATAAATTCTGATGCTTCTTTCCCAGTCCTGGCAGTAACGTCTGGTTATATCTCATGATTTTCAGGAAAAGGAGTGCCCACATCTGCTCTTTCACTGCACGTTTGTTCATTCACATTTTCTCCGCTGCTACAGGTTTCCCAACCCTGGTGTTTCCCTGCTGACATCCCTTCCCAGAAGTGTGAAATCAATCTAACACGGGCCGTGTGGCCGCAGCATCGCTCAGCAGCCCGAGCCCCCCCTCCCCTGCTCCGCTCCTCGCCCGAGGAAAACAGGGAGAAAGATATTTATGGGATAATTGAGGTGCGAATTTCACCCTTTGTAACGTGACTGCGGTGCGGAATGCCACCCGAATTCCCAAATATCTTTAAAAGCTGGAGAGCCAGCCCCGGTGTGGGGTGGGCACCTCAGCCCCTCCACCGATCCCAGTTATTCTGTGCCTGGCGGAATGCGGCGCTGGGATGTGATTCAACGTCTGTGCGAGCACATGCTGATGTCTGTCAAAGATAGTGGCTGCTTTCCTGTGCCCTGCCCGCGAATCTGCTTTGTGCAGACAGCTGGATATTTATGAGCTTTATATTTACCCCACAGTTGTGCAATTTTGCTGTTTATGCACCAATTCCTATTGTTTTTCCTTTCGTGGGAGTTCTCCGTGCGCGAGGGAAGGCGCTCAGCGAGGGATGTGTTTCTTAGGCACGTAAGTACCTTCGTGAGAGACATTAAGCATATGGATGACACACTCCCAAGTTTGGTTAGAGGCAGATCCACACGCTGAGGCTGAGCTCCTCTCTTCCCAACACGTAATTTGGACCAAAGAGATAAAGAATTGGAGTAATACAGGGAATATACAGTCAGCCCAGGCAGGAAGATTTTTCACAGGAAATTTTCAAATATGTGTTAACATATATTTCATTTCAAGCAGCGAGTCTAACACGAAGGCAATCCTGTTATATTTCTGTGCTGGAAAGCATCCAGTCCCCTATAAGCCTTCTGAAAAAGCAGCGTGGCTCAGTCATGGAGGGAGGGTATTAGTGCAAACGGCGCGAATGTTGCTGACTTGGCAATCAGCAAAAACATAATGAGCTCCTTTAACCATGGGAATGGAACAGCATTCCCGGAAAGCCGCTGTGCCCCCTGCCCTCCCCATCGATTGGGCTGGAGGTGCCCGTGGTGGAGACGTGTGTGGGAGCAGGTGCCTCCAGCGAGAGGTGAGGAGGCTCCATAAGTCCTTGAGAAATTGATTCAAACTCAGTTGATGACTTTCTTTTTTTCTGAAAGTTGGCAAACCACGCTGCAGGTCCCAGTTCCTCCCTGCCCTGAGGAACGGCTGTTGTTGGAACGGCTGTGAACAGGCAGTTCCTCCATGATTGTGTGGATCTGGAAATCCTACAGATCCAGCTGTGTTTGGTGGGCCCATAAATCCTCTCTCTTGCCCGCTGCTGTCAGCGTGTCTGGGTGCTGCAGGGCCCTTGGCTGGGGTTCAACCAAATTCCCTCCATCCCCATTTCCCTTTGTGATTTCCACCGTGCCTGATCCTCCTCCCCTTCTCCCCGCTGCTGTCAGGAGACTCAAATATGGTCACAAACAGATGTGCAAGGCAAGCCAGCACACACTCACAGCAGGAGGGATGGCAATGGGCTGTGTTTGCAGAGCAACACCAAAACAGCCCCGTGCAGCCCCATCCCGAACTAAGGGCCGAGCCCCATCCCGAACTAAGTGCCATGGGACACGGGACCTGTTTTCCTTCTGCCATGCCCTAAGCAAAGCCTGGCCTGAGTGCCTGGTGCTTTCTCCCATGCACGGGTGGGTGGTCACGTACCTCCTGGCAGGCTGATGGGCCCGCAGCCCTTCTCCTTGGGGCCTTGCTCCTGCACGTAAATCCGCTTTGTGCAGAGCCGCCATAGCCCGAAATGAGCGGCCTCGCAGGTGGCGTTGAACTCCTCCACCTTGGGGCTGAGCACGGCCCAGTGGTCCGACACTACGGCTGCAAAGAGCAGCGAGATGCCCACCAGGATGACGGAGAACGTCAGCCGCACCTTCAGGGGTTTGCTGTCGTCCATCCCGCTCCGGAGCGGCGCTCCCGGCGGAGCGCGGCGGGCGGTTCGAGAGGTCTCCCGAAATCCTGGCGCATGTGAGCGTGTTTGGAAATGTCAGCTCTGGGGAGAGCGGGGCGGCCGCAGGCAGCTGCTGGGCTGTGTCAGCCGGTGCCCGGGAGGCTCCTCACGCACAGCTCAGCTTTCGGCCCCATCCCGCCCGGATTGTTTGGGATTTGGATTCCCACGGCCGGGCGCTCGGCACAGCGGCCGCCGCTCAGGGGCTGCGACGTCTTGACTTGCAGCATGCCCAGAAATAGGCATTAATGGGACCATTAACTTTTCAGCGAGGTTATAAAAATATCTGTGTTTATAATAGTGCCGGGCCTGAGCTCAGGCTGATCCTAAACAGTTTAATAGCCCCGGAGCCCTCGTGCTGCACGCCCACGCCTGTGGCTCGCAGTGGCCCCTGTATGGAGCTCGGAGCTGGATGTCCCTCCAGAGCCCAGAACTGCAGCAGAAAATGGCAAAATAAGGAAACTTGTTTATTTTAGTATTGATTTTTATTATAATTATTTCTGGTTTGTTTTTTATAATAATATTTTTAATTAACCTGAACTATTCCAAGTAGTTGGGGATGGTTTTTTGTGGTCTTTCCTTGGGCTTTTTTTACCCCCTTTTTTTTTTTTTTTTGTGTGTGTGTGTGTGCGTTTTTTTTGGGGGGGAGGGTTGGTGTCTTTTTTTCTTTCCTATTTTTTCTAATGCAAAACCTTGAGTACTCTTTGCTTTCTCACCAACCAGCTTCCTCTTGATGCCTACTGTAACTCCAGCAGCCACCCAACATGCCCTTTCCTTCTTCCAGAAGTGACTTCCCTGAGCCCAGATTCCTGGGACCAGCTTCTCTCCTTCCCTTTGATACTCCAACTGATTGTAAAGCTAATTTGATGATAATGTCAATGCAGAGGCCACTATGGAGGCGACATTACAATTGTGATGTCAAACTGAGGAGGGTGACAGTACCTGAATGTTAAAGAATGGGTAAAAAAATGCCAGTGGAAAGCTGCAAATATCATTGTGTCAAGATAATGTCAGAGCTACTCCAGTCCTGCTTTATTAACACCCCAGTTTGATGTCAAAATAAAGGTGCAGAGGTGTCAGCTCAAATTGATGAGGACAATGTGGAGCAAGGAGTTGAGGTGTGAGGAGAGTGTGGGAAAGCAGGGAAAATAAAGAGTAAGCCAAAAAATGTTGATCCAAAATAACTGTAATTGAAATATGGCTTAAAGGGCCTAATGTTACTCTGCTTGATGTGTGACAGGGCTGACTCAGACATCCCTGGGGAGTGGGGGACATGTCTGAACCCGGGATGGCATCTGGTGACCCATTCCTGATGGGAATGTGGGAACCAGGGGGAGGATTGAAGGTGTGTGGTGCAAAATTGGAGAGGAAGGAGATAGGGACCAGGGAGGACAGTGGGGACATGGAGCAAGGCAGGGACCAGAGAACACAGGCACATCCATGCTGGGGCTGGGAGAGGTATGAGAGGATTACATTTAAACCAGAACCAAGAGTTCTCATGAAACAGAAAAGCCTAAAGGGAGCAGGCTTTAAACCAGCAAAGGAATGCATTAAAGATGTGATGCCTTTTCCTTTGAAGAAGGCTCTTGTTAAATTTCAATAGACATCAGTCGGTCTCAGGAGCTGCACCCTCACTTCGCTTCCTTGATGCTCCAAACTCCACAGGTGGAACAGAGGGAAGTGAATGTGTGTTTGCAAATGTGGGCACAAAGTGAGGTTCTGGTTGCTGAGGAAGCAAGTGCTAATGATCCTGCTTTAGACTAATTACAACCTACAAGGACTGCAGGGTGGGAACTCATTAATTTCTTCGCTGGTGTTGGTCTCTGTGTCTCTTCCAGTGTTGGGAAGAATCATGCTTTTTGTTCTCATTTAGGTCTTTCAATCTGGATAAGTTGTATGGATTTGGTTTTGTTTTGAGTTTCCTAATTTCCAGGAAACAACTAAAGTGAAATCAGAAGGGAAAAATTCATCCTTCTCTCCTGCTGAGTGGAACTGGGAGTGTGAATGAACTTCGATGAACCCCAACACGAGGAGCAGTGGCTTCCCTGGGGACTGAAAGCTCACACTGCTGCAGCTGAGGTCAGATGTTGTCCCCATCCCTCAAAAAACGACCTAGAGCTGACAATCCATGGGAAAAAAAGTGTTTTGTGGGTTATTGCTCCCCATGGGCTCTGTGGGTTAGCTACATGAGCTCATGCAGCCCCATTGTGAGGATGCTGCTGTCGCCTCCTCCCAGCATAGGCTCCGTGTATTTTTGGGGGCTTCTGGCAGATATTTGGTGATCAGCACCTTGGTGAGAGCCAAAAGACTCCTCTGCCCTTGGGCTGAGCCTCTGTCCTCAACCTGGGCACTTCTGTCCTAGTGAAGTTGCCTTCCCTGGGGCTTTGGGGGCTCCATGGGGCAGGTGGGCACCTGACAAATGCAGAAGCAAAAGGATTTCTGGAGGAGAAAAGGACACAGTCTCCCTGTGTCAGGTGGCAAGTATTCACATTTAAAAATCAATATCACATGAAATATAAACAGACTATTAATGAGGACCTGCTGGGAAGCAGAAGGGTTGTAATTAGTTGCACTTTAGCAGCGGCGAGTGAGGGACATGATTCTGTTTCTCTACTGGAGAAAATGCCAAAGGAGGTGCCTGAAGCCCAACTATGTGTTGTGTTTTCCCTGGCAGAGGTGGTGGCTTGGCTCTGCTCCCCAGCACTTACAGTCTTCTGTATTTCTTCCAGACCAGCCTCAGTATTTACCACAACCAGACTGACCCCATTCTGTGGTTCCCTGCTGGCAGAATGATGTTCTGCAGAAGACCCTTCCCAGGTGAGAATAACCCAGAGAGGGGGAGCCGGCAGCTGGTCTGCTCCCAGCTCAAATGTGAGTTCAGCAAACAGCTTTTTTCCAACAGGAAACTATTTGGGCTCCTCAGCCTGCATTGCCCCAGTGGGGTGAGACCACTGGGATCGTGGTGGGCTCTGCATGGCCAATACTTGGCAACAACACTAAGAGCACCCTCCAGAAGCTCCCTGATTCTGGGGCCGAAATCCTGCCAGCTCTGAAGGCAAGAGCAAAATGTGTGAGTGCGTGTTTTGGTTGGGTATTTTATTTTTTAACAGACCCCCACCCTGCTGTTCGCAGCCCAGTCTCTTCCCTACGGGGCACAGGCAGGGCTGGTCAACCCGTGTGACTGATCCAAGCTCCCTTCTCCCAAAATACCGCCGCCGTGCCGGGTGTGCCGTTCTGGGAAGCGATCCCCTGGCTCTGGGGAAGGGCGGCAGCGGGGCTGTAAACTGAGCTGGATTGCAGACAGGTGCAGAGCCTCTCCATTCCCTTTTATTTTCAGCACCGCCCATGTCTGTTACTTTTCTCATTCCAAGGTAATGCCACATCCTCCTCGCTGGACTCTTTTTCCAAAGCTTTAAGGACTCTGTCTTTACTTCCCCCCACCCCAAACACCACTTTTTGATACAGCCCCGTTCACAGCAGGGCAGCCTCAGCTCCTGGGGTCACCACTTCACCCATGGACTCGCTCAGCAATGTGGGAAAAGCCTTTATTTGTTTCAGTCCAGGGGAACCAGCTTTGGGCTCGAGCTTTAAAGGGCTTCTCTGCCGTGTGTCAGAGGCATTTGAAAAGATGAATCCCCTGCCTCCCTCCAGACGTGCCAATTCATCACATGGCCGGGAGAGGCGGATGGAGAGACACGGGCACTCTTCATCTTTAGAGACAGTCTGGAGGCTGAGGAGCTGGGAGGTGAAGTTAAAAGAAGGATTTGAAGAAGAAATATTGCCTGTATATACAGGGATGGCTCGGGATGTCTGGGAGCAGGGAGAGGCTGCTGAACTGCTGCCCCGTGTTCGGCACCGCTCGTCCCACCGGGATTTTGGGGTGGTGATCAGAGCAAGGCTGTGGGAGCTTCAGCATGTGGGGTCGGGCTTCCTTCAGGAAAAATGGGCAAGGTCAGGGGAGAGGAGGATGCTCGGGGATGAGTTCCTATGAAACCTCAAAAGCTGGAGGAAAGCACAGGCTCAGGGTGAGCACCTCAGAAGACACCGGGTTGTTTTTCTCCATGGTGGTTTGCAGTGGCTTCTGGCCACCACACCAGGCTCAAAATCGGCACTGAAGCTGGAAACCAGAAGGTCTTTCTTAGTTCCCAACCCAACTAACTGGAAATATTGTGAGGATAGCTTATCTTGGAGATTTTGTGGTCTATGAGACCATAAGAATAGTTCTATCTCCTCCCATATATTGGCTTCCAGTAACATGAGCAGCTGCAATCAAACAGAGAGAAACATGAAAACATAAATACAGAAATCTCAGCTCAGAGAATCTGGAAATTAAAAATCTATATACCTTTCTCCACACAAACCCAGATACATTTAAAATGGTTTATTTAAAAAGTAAGGATTAAGTACATTATACATGGTTGTGATTATACCAGTAGAACTGAAGCACAGTGGAAATAACACTTTAGAACTGCAGACAGAAATGTAGCCTCAAGGGACGTGATATATTAGCCCTTGTGGATATGTGATCCATACAGAGAGAAAAGGAAATAGAAAAATAGTTTATTGTTAGATGTCTGGGCAGCTGAAGTGATTTCTCTTTTTACTCCTACTGTGGATGAGAAACGAGGAAGAGAGAGCTGATGATACACCTGAAACTTTGTTTCCTGGAAAATCAAATCTGATCCAACAGCATTTTTTATTTTTTTTTGGTTCTGCTTTTACAGTATGTTATATACCAGAAAACTGATTATCGTTAATGATATGGTTCTGTGATATCTACAGGCCTTGCTGAGAAATGGGGCTCATTTTTCTGATGCTGTCCAGGGAAACTAGAGAGATGTGGAAGAACAGATGTTTTTTTTTAAACTATCACTGAGTGGTTTCAAAGTCTGAGCACAATCTAACTGTTCAGATAGATCAGCCATGGAGCGAGACTGTTCATGGGCAGGAATGCTGCAAATTTTTCAGTTTTGTTG